GGCGATGGCCGCAAAAAAGTCAGACCTGGATACCTCTGCATTACATGCCAACTAACTTGTAACTAACTACTTTTGGACATAAAATATCAATAAGAAAAACAAAATATTTTTTTGTTTTTTTACTTTTTTATTTGCTTATTTATTTACTTTATTTTATTACATTTCATATTTGTTTACATATTCTGCTCTGGGTGGCCCCATATTCGAACACCGTCAGACATAACTTCAAAATGATAGTATAAAATTTCGATCTTCCTTTTATTTGTCCTGAATATGAAAAAGAATCTGCGAAGTTCAGAAAAAAGTGTATTGAAAGTAATTTTTTGTATGAGGATATTTAATAGAAACTTGTAAAGAAAACCAACTCCCGATTGCGTCTGCATGACTCCTGCACGACTTTACAATTCACTTTAAGTTGGTTTTGTCATAGCTAATTAAAAGTGAGGTATTAATCGAAATCTCGCCAAAAAGCTAACTATAAGTTGGTTAGTTTTAACAATTGATAATTTTTCGTGCAGGGAAACGATATTGTAACGTTTAAATAGGTGTAGTAATGTTCCTAAGGAATCGATTGTTCTATACCGGAAAAATATAACCGTAGTTTTTATTTTGAAATCAAAAAGTATTTGAGGTCGCTCAAAGCGCTGAAATTTTTACATATATTTTACAGAAAAAAAACTTTTCGTAGAAATGGTATAGAATTCTTGAAATCAATATCTCTCGATCGGAAACCTCTGGTTCTATTCAGGAGACTTCTAATAATAATACCCATCGTTTATTTAACTATGTGAGTGGGTAGTAGCAGCCAACCGCTGCAGTACGAAAGAGTTGGAAGATCGATTCCCACGGTTCATTTGTATCCTGCCGATGAGAAGTTTCTTCTTTAATCAAGATTTAGAGTCGATGAAGAAAGTGTCGTTTGCGACTGTAGCTTTTCTACGTCGAACTTTCGTCGCGCTTATCACAACGTTATCAATTTGGTTTTTTGATTTTGATCAGCTTAGGGACACCCAAATGGTTTATAGATCTTTCGATGCTTGTATTGCGGCGAAGTCGGAGAGCCTCTCGTGTTGTCGGAGGCGTTGTCAAAAAGACTCAAATTTCCGACTGTTGGATCAAATACGTTTAGATTTCATGCGGATTGTGGCACTTCTTTCACTGATAGGAGTAAACCTGGATACCAGTTGTCGAGCCCGCTGCCCAACTACTGATCCAAATTTGTGCGCCTTCTTATGGCAGTTGTACCTACATATTAGATGCGGCCCCACTGGAGCCTCCTCTCTTTCTGCCTTGAACCGAGGCTTTACAGCAGCGGGTTTACACATATTGCTCACATTGCCCAGAAGACGCCAACGAAGGCGCAACAGTCGGGATTGTGTATAGTGGTAAAACTGTAACTGCCTAGCCAGATGAACGGCAATAAGGGGAGGAAAGACTTTCTGTACTAACGAAAACCACGAAATGATTGAGAAGAAAATAGTTGAAAAGTCTGCTGAAAATCCGAGGCGTTGGTTACTGTCATAAAAAGAATTGAATAAAATTGTAGTATTTTTATATATCTGTGGT